GTGTGTGTGTGTGTGTGTGTGTGTGTGTGTGTGTGTGTGTGTGTGTGCGTGCGCGTGTGCGCGCGATGAAGCGTCACGCGTCTTAAGTTATTATAACATCTCGTTGCTAATTGTGAGGCACGCGCGGCAAGATGGAGACAATAGGCGTCGACAACGAAATCAGCCCAAAATGTGCAACTAAATCCCGGTTCTGTCAGGTAAAGTATTTAGTCTTCTAATAAAAACACTTTTTGAAAACAGTAATTTAAAAAAAAAATAACTTATAACAATAAATGCACACAATTAATATACCATTTACGAACAACATTGTAATAAGCAGTAAGAAAAGAGAAACCTGTGGGCCTATTTTGTAACTCTTAACGACAGTTTCGTTATCCTGAAAATCTATAGTTTACATTACATACACTATAGATTTTTAGTACTGACAGTGAATATCGGAACGCAACCAGAATAGACCCACTGAGAGTAGAGACGGTTCAATTTTATGGCTTTCACAAACCATAAAACTGAACCGGTTCGCAACAGAGAACGTTGGAAAACCGGTTTATCCTAAACAAACCGCATGTCTTAATAACGTCTTTAAGGGAGAAGTCTCATGTAACACGCTAAAAAGTAAAGTAATTTTTGGAATTTTTTTTAAGAATCAATGCGACAGATCTTTTTCAAACTTTTAGAGTATTTTATTATACATTTCAAAAGATAAAAAAAATTTTTTTTGTTAAAAAATAATAGTTGTGTTAGGAACTATGGAGGTTATGAGGCCGCGGTCTCGTCACCGGAGTTGTAAATCGGCGGGCGTTATAGCGCCTGTTGTACTCGCTTTAAACAAAAATAAAAAAATTTTTTTTATTTTCTATAAAATTACGTGGTCGATGAACCTAAAAAAGAAGGTAAAAATGCAAAATTAACCCTCAGGGTACGGACTGGGTTAGCGTAACTCGAGCGAATTTTGAAAGTAGCGCTATTTCAGAGGAAGTGAATGGAAATTTTCAAATGTATCTTTGTTTAAACAAATAATGTAATAAATCTATCAACGCCATTGTATTTTTGAGAAAATTTCCGATCCAAAAAAAAACATGTTTCAATTGACAAATTACAGCCCGATATACAGTCAATCAAAGTCGCCGGGTTAGGCTAACCCATGTCCGTACGGAACGAATTTTTTTATAGTCCGTACCCTAAGGGTTAAGAAAACGGAGGGACTTAAAAAAAACGAAAATTTTTTGTCAAAATTGCAACTTTTTTTTTAAGTCTCGCCGTTTCTTTAATTTTGCACTTTTACCTTCTTTTTTAGGTTCATCGACAACGTAATTTTATAGAGAATAAGAAAATTTTTTTTATTTTTGTTTCAGGCTAGTACAACAGGCGCCAATTTACAACTCCGGCGCCGAAACCGCAGCCTCGTAACCTTCATAGTTCCTAACACAACTATTATTTTTTAACAAAAAAATTATTTTATCTCTTGAAATGTATAATAAAATACCCTAAAAGTTTGAAAAAAATCCGTCGCATTGATTCTTCAAAAAAAATTCCAACAGTTACCTTACTTTTTAGCGTGTTACATAAGACTACCCCCTTAATTACCAAAAAACGTCCTCGAACCGTCTTCCAAATTTTTCCATAGACATCTAAAAGTTGTCTTCTATAAGACATTTTTTGGAACATGTACAAGTATTTACAATTTAACATTATCAATTAATATACACTGTTAAAAAAGATATGAAATTTACAACACATTTACGATACCACGGTAAATGAAATTTACAAACTGGGTATCTAAAATAAAAATGCTTACATTTGTATAGCTAAATTCATACACGAACATGAATTTTAATCACTGATATGAAATTTAATACACATAACATTGAATATTAAAAACCCGTTTAAGATTTTTTGGAAAACGCAAGGTAATAATACATATTTTTGATTGAAAATGAGAACATTTGTATATGAATTTATTTGTTGCAAACAAAGCATTGAAAATACAATACGACTTTATTGCGGCGAACTGATAAATACAATGCACTTGAAATTGAATATTACACCCAAAAAAAAGTATTCTATTAACAGAGTGAAATTTCCTGTAATCCCATATTCTAAGCGGAAACTTTTACAGAAAGAGTATTCCTCTGTCAATAAGTGGACTATTCATCAAGAATCTATTACATATTATTCTAACGGGTTTCCTCTTGTATTAAGAGGAATATATGTTTACTTGGAGCTTGGGCTGTACGACGGGACGGGCGGCAGCGCGGGCTCGCGCGGCGAGAGTTCGGCTCGTGCCCGCTACGCGGCGCATCGCCAGTATCCTTACTCGTAATTAAAATTCAACATCGACTCTTATATCTAGGGCAGCTCGGGAGGGTTTCTCCACTTTCTCCAGCGTTCGCCAGTCAGAGCGTGCTCACTAGCAGTGCTTCTGACATAACACTTTTTGTTTACGAGGTGTTCTCCTCATCTGGGGCCTTCGTTTAAACAAATGTATTATAGAAAGAGCAAAATTCAAAAATTTGTTTGGTTTGTTAACAATAAAATATTTATATTAAGAATAACAAGATCGCGTACTATAGACTATAGATGCAAGATGAAATTCCTCTAATTGTAAAAATGCTTGTGCTTAGAATATTTTCCTCTTGATTTTAGAGGATTCCTCTTGAGGCCATAAACAAGAATAAAATCCGCTAAGATTTAGAGGATTCCGCTAAAACTAAAATTATTTTTTTTTGGGTGTATGATATGCGTATAATCTTTCTTTACAACAATTGTCTTTTGAAATTGAATTCATATATAAATTCTTGTTTTCATTCGCGCTTTGCAATTTTAAAAGACAATTGTTATAAAGAAAGATTATACGCATATCATAATATTCAATTTCAAGTGCATCGTATTTATCAGTTCGCCGCAATCAAAATCCAAAGTCGTATAGTATTTTCAATGCTTTGTTTGCTGCAAATAAATTTATATACAAATGTTCTCATTTTCAATCAAAAATATGTATTATTACCTTCCGTATTCCAAAAAATCTTAAACGGGTATTTAATATTCAATGTTATGTGTCCTTATTAAACAATAAGACATCAACTGTTATAAGACAAAGTGTGAGAACGCAGGCATCTGCGCCGCGAAGTGGTGCGCAGATGCCTGCGCACCTAATTGGTCCGTGGTGGCGTGCGAGTTAATCTGCAAGTGCGTGGCGCGCGTCGTATACGCACATGGTCGTACTTCGTATAGTACTGCAGAGAAAAATCAGATAGATTCGAGTTTTGTTTGTTATCGCCGACAGCTGGTTGTTCAGGTTGTTGTGTTAGAGGTTAGAGTCACAGCCGAGTCCCGAATCCGGGCCCGTATTCTGGTTCCTACTACCGACTTTTGATTCGCCGAAGCAGTGATACACGTTGAATAAAATATTTGTGAAGTGTGTACACAGTGAATAAGTCGAAGATATAACTACAAGGAATAACAAATTAGTAAGTAACTAATAATTTATTTGGAATAATGAAAACCGATCACGTTAACATAAAGCTAGTACGTAGAATCCGCGTGGAACATAACCTTTTTGTGCTGGCGAGCGCTAACAATCGTTTTTATGTAAATATTAGTCCTTCTGTCAACTACAAGTGCCTCTTAGACGATTATACTATTATTTTCGTATATAGTAATTTATATTTTGAGATATTTTGTCAACGAAAAATTGGACTGTTGGACTCGTGTGATTTTTGCCAGCATCATGGTTCCACATGTCCAGCGATCCAAATTTTCGTGGAAGAAATATTTCAAAATACCACAAGTTACATGGCTGAGATAAGGTGTCTGAAAAAATTATAACACCCTTTTTCACATCGATATGCGTTACTTCAAATTTCAAGCCGAAATAAATATATGTAAATTTGAGAAGAACATGAGCATCATTGTAGTTTTTTTCAATTTTTTCAGATAAGATGTATGTATGTCAGTTTTGTGCCTACCAGTCCCAACAACTGGCATCGTATTTGGAGCATCGAAAATTGCATTTAAACATCACTCAAAACTTCCATTGTGGTTTTAATGAATGTAAAAAGATGTAAAAAGATGCCTACAAGTGTCCTTACGATCTCATTTGTTGCGAACACATAAAGTTCTTAGAGGAGTAAAAACCGATAGTCCCTATACTTCTCGTACTGTGAATACAAAATTTATCTGTTTGATGCCTCTGTGCATGAAAGAATTCGACTCGTCTCGAGCGATTATTAAACATTTAAAATGTTATATTTGACAAAAAGAAAAAATTAAGTGTCTTTTTAGAGACTGCAATAATGAATATGATATTTTGCATTCCTTCACCGAACATTTATCTAAGAAGCACAAGAATCCTCCTGCCGGTAATACATCATGCCTCGCTCTTCATCATTATTTGAGACATTACCCTGAATTAATTGTGAGATTCGGGCCATTGATGAAGATTTGGTCTCTATGTTTTAAAAGCAAACATACGTATTTCAAGCGAGTTCTTCGATACAGTCGAAATTACAAAAATATCATTAAATCTTTGAGTGAAAAACACGAACTATTTCAAAGTCTATTTCGATTTGGTGCAGATATCAGACCAGAAATTGATATAAAAGAAATGTCAAATTTTCAAAAATGTATTTATCATGACAGCATTCAATCAGCAGTAGAAAAAGTACGTCTTCCCGATAATATTCAGGAGTGCAATGAAGTAACGGTGAAAGGCATTGTGTACAGAAAGGAAGATTGTTTAGTGATTCGGCAAAAAGGCTATTAATATGATATTGAAATCGGAAAAATGTCTATTTTTTTGAGCGATGAACAATGTGTATTCATGGTATTCGAAGTATTGGAGACGCTTTTTATTCCATATCTTCGCGTTTATCAGATCGGAAAATGTGTCAGATACGAATGTTTATCATTAGACAATTTGCCAAGTACGGAAAAACTGTACATATATAATATTGGGACCATTATTTGCGTGAAACCAAGCTACGGTTTGGTTGCTCGCCCTCTGTAAAATTGAATCTAATATTGAAGGTTGGTTTTTGCAAAGAAAGAAAAACTGCAATAAGTTATGTGTGTCTCAGAAATGGTGGAGGTGCATCACAAATTCACAAATAATTGTATCTTGACTTTTATGAAATGTTGTGCATTATGTTTACGCATTCGATATCTTTTCTTATGTTTTGGTGTTATTATTGTTTTATTCGCAGATCTGCAGATCAGCAGCATGTCACTGTTTAAAGTGTGCCATTCCGATTGTTCCAGAAAAGTAATGATAAAAGCAGCGACGCTAACAGAGCTAATTGCTGGTGCAAAAGCTAAATTGAAAATGGCTGACGTTGTGTATAAGGTTAACACGGCTTTTCTTTTTTTCTTTATTCTTCAACTGTTGGCATTGACCGTTTTGTTGCATGTGCCGCATGGTAGATTTACACATTTGCATGAAGACGCCTCTTTTTACTAATCTTCTGCAGGGCGCAATAAACTGCAAGGGCGTCGCCGTTTGAAGAAAATATTATCCTTATAATGATATCGTATGACGTTTTTTTGGAAATCTTTCGGCAACCTTTTCGAGATTTACTTTTTCACATTTAATATGTGTATGCAGTTATTGTTTTAATTAACTTACTTTATTTTCTATAACGTCTCTCATTCAGGTAGTATTAGAAGAAGACGGAACCGAAATCGACGATGACGAAATTCTTTCTGACATTGCGAAGCTCTCTCAAACACCCATAAATCTTATGCTACTGTCGGAGGATTTATCGTGGCAATCATTGGCCAAGAACAGTGCTGTTGAAAACTCCGAAGCTGGACAATCTACTCCAACGACAAGCATTTCAGGGGGTCATGATGATCAGATTACTTCGTCGCACCCCGTAGAAGTATTGGGAAGCAACATATGGAAAATATTCCCAAGGCGTCTGACAGAATGCTGCAATAACGGTCAAAGAGCTCTTGAAGTCGACAGGCGAACAATGGTAGCTGGTATCGCAGAGTATATGACACAAGATCTGAAAGACTACTCAAGAAGAACGGCTGAGCGGATTGCAAAGATCATCACTGAGAAATATCCCAAAACCTTCAGCGATGTGATCAACAATAAAACCGTGGGATCTGGAATGGAAAATTTGCGGCAGCAGATTTATAACGCCGTTAATTATCGAAAAGGAATCGATAAGGAAACAAAAAGACGCTCCGAAATTCGGCTCAGTGAGGAGACCGCAGATGATCCTGCTCCTGCGCTACCGAAACCGCGAAAACAAGATGAATATGTTTGTACTGAGTATCAACCACTTTTGCCGCCAACCGAGTCGACAACTTCACAAACAAACAAAAAATTGCAACTCATTCAATTCTTCAAATCTGACGAGAAAGACGAAAAAGAAATATCTCAATTAATGGACGATACCTACCCGACACAGAGAGTCGACATCAATAAGAAAACGAGAGATCTCGTCCAACTGCTCCAGGTCTGGTCGTACCTTCAAAGCCCAAAGTACCTCATAGACCATGCTTCACGTCTTCTTGGCAAATCAGTTCAAGCAACGTGGGAAGAAAGTTTGACTATGTACGCCAAGCCAATCCAAAAATACGATCTTCAGCGAGAAATCGAAAATGATAAAGTTACGGCAATCGAATAGCATTAGCGAAACGAAACCGAATGATTCTAAGATTGACATTCCTCAAATAATATCTGATGCAAAAGCATCGAGTACAGCTACACAAAGTGAAGTCGCATTGATAGCGGTGATCTTTCCTCTAATCTCCACACAGTTGAAGGAAGATCCGCAATACTTATTCAAGGTCATACCCGTGAGTGCCATAATTTTCTATTTTTGACATTACTGCTTGCAAATAATTGTGAATTAATCTCAGCAATCACTGGCTTAGTGCTTTCCCTATATATTTTATTCACATTGACTCGATTTTGAATATTTTTATTTCCGTCAAATTCCTTTAACTAGTGCTTTATATTATATTATATTTGAACGATTATATTTTTTTCGGCACTTTTGGATTTGGAATGGTTTTGAAATCATTTGAATGATTTAAATTTAGATTAGTTTGAAATTGTCACAGTACTTTTTTATTTACTTTTTTGTTTTTTTTAATATATTTTTGAAGTTTTTTTAATTTTTATGTTTTAATATAATATATTGACGCGAAGAAACTTATTCATCATCCTCACTCTTGTCATTTGAATTATTGCCACATTTTCCAGTACATTTGCAAATTTTACTGGAGGACAAATCAGCAGCACGGCAAGGATATGAAATCGATGTTCTGCAAGAAAAACTTTTTGAACTACAGTTACATATATATTTTTGTAGTAATTGAAAACTCGTAGGACCTTCAAAATAAACGGGAATCAGTTGTCCATTAATTAATTGCCATCCGTACCCTTTTGGATCAAGAATTTCAATGACTGGGAAACGAGCATTTTTCCACACATATACTTGCCACGTACATCTTTTTAAGTGTTGAAGAAAAGTAAAAAATGCAGGTGGCAGTTTTTGTAGAGATAGTTGTTTTAATTTTGCCAATGTAACGCGCATTTCATTTATATCGCTGTGTTTGTCAACGTGCTTTCTTTTTGTATCGTAACGTCGATTCGAACAGGGAATAGAAATAAAAAATCATGTATAAATGCAGAATAAACAGTGACACAGGCAGTAGACACAGAGTTTCCGTCACGTTGGAAATTCTGTGCCTATTGCCTGTTGCCAACCAATCATAGCATTCGAATTTTTGAGGTTGTAATTAACGATTTTTTGGTTATTTTTTGTTCCTATTGCCTGTTGCCTGGCATTGTGGCCAGGGGCTCCCTGCCAGGGGCTCTGGCAGGATCGAACCGCGAACGCAACGGACGGACGCACGCAACGCTAAACGGAGATCAAAGCACTTTTAGGCAGCATTGTATCTACCATTATAGGTGTTTTTTATGTAAAAAAGTACGCTCTACAACTTTCATTTGAACAGTTTTGTCGAAAAATTAACCAGAAAAAAGTTGTGGCGTGTTTTATTAGAGAAAATACAACAAAAATATGGAAAAATTTGACTTTACGCCAAATTTCACTGTATTAATGATATATTTGACTATTTTATAATGCATATTCTTAAAGTTTACACTTTTTTGAATAAAATTCGATACTAATAATTTCAATTTTATCAAGCCAAAGATGTGAAAAAAAATCAAGAAGAATCCTATGTTCAAAACGCCATTTTGTATTGTTCCGACGCGCGAACTTTAGCGAACTTTCGTTTATTTACTTGTCACACAATGTACTTTCGATATTTTATAGTTAGAGCTGGTTATCTCGTCGTTGCCGGTTACTCGCATTTTAGAAGGCTTTTGGCGGTTGAGTTGCAGGCCTACTTGTTAAATTGTATGCTGTACTATTAATTTTTATTTTACAATTAATATATATAACAATGGTTTAAAATAAAAAAAAAACGTCTATAAGATACTTCAAAAACGTCATAAATCGGGTTATAAACGTATTACCATCGCGACTGAAAAGAATATGACAGTCACCAATAAATAACAAAGTTTTTGGTCCTGATAAAATATTTAGTCTTAAAAAAAACTTTTTGACAGTAGTTCTAAAAAAAGTAACTTATAACAATAATTGCCAGACAAATCAAAATACACCATTTACGAACAACATTCGTAAAAAGCAATAACCTATGCAAAATATTAGTCCAACTTTATGTATATAAAAAAACTAAATAATGTTACTATCAAAATGATGTTATGTCTAAACCACGGGATACACGGGAATTTCTGGGAAGCAAAGGAAAAGTTAGCCAGAGGTGGGGATGTAGGAGGACGTAATACAGATATATAGGGCCTTGGCACATAGAAAAACTTAAGCAGTAAAACGTTAGCAGTAAGAAAATCAACAGTTTTGATTTGCTACTACTTACGTTATGCTATTTACCTTAAAAGTTCTTAACTGTAATTGGCTGATTTGCTTTCTTAAGTTTTACTGCATGATTAAGTTTTTTTGTGTGCCATATATGGTCTTTACTAATGTTATCTCGAGTAGAAGAGACCTGGGCGAAGTCGGCCATTTTTTTTGGTGCCGATTTTTAACAACAAAATAAATCATTTTAGTGAAATATAATATATCATTGTAAAGAGTGAACCCTTTTGGCTACAAAATTTCTATAGGCATTTTTGGTCTACGTCGTTTTGTTCAACCGGTATAGAGTAAAAACAAATAGACGGAGAGCTGGCTACATAAAAATGCAAGGTATAAGGTACATGAAATATTTATAGCTAGAGAGGTTCCATTAGCACTCCCGAACACTGAGTGACCAGTCTGCCTGCGTGCTTAGGAAGATTAAGGCGGGGGTGGACGGTCAAAAATGACAAATTTTACAAGGAAAAAAATTATAAAGCTCAGGGATAAAAATTATAGGAATGTTAAGTATTTGCTGCTACAAAACGCGGAAAATTATTGGCAGACAATTTCGTGGAAGAGAAAGGGCCGGCAGACTGCAACAAAACGGCGTTAACTTTTGTGAAAAAAAAAATGATAAGGTACATGATTAAAAATTATTGGTAATAATTACTAAACTGTTAACGAAGCTATGTGCTAAATGGCAGACGAAAAAACTGAAGACAACATCGAGGCAGATTGTAATGAAGAGCGCGGTTTTGATCGCGCTTAATGAGGTAGTTTCGTACGATGCGTTACTATGATATGTTATTTTGTTATTTATATAAATATATTACGTGTCTCTTTTTTCCATTAATGGATTCAGTTTGTATTCATTCTTTTATTGTTAAAAATAAAATGATTAATATTTATTTATTATATTGAATCTAAGTTGTTACTAATTAATCTCATAACATTTTTGATCTGCAGTTGAAAACTATATATAAATATTTTTCTACAAGTTTTAAAATAATATATTGAAGTTTTAATAGATTGAGAGATTCGAAAATTCAACGCAGGTATAAAAACCGATTGAAACGGTTCAGAGGGACCAAGTGGCCGAGAAACAGCTGTATAGCAGAGGCTGGAGAAGGTCATTTATGATAATAAAGATAATAAATATAAGAGTTCAGTATACTCAAAAACTCGACAATGAACAGACGTCCAACGTGTGTTGTGCCGAATTTTATTTTTCTTCAGTGACTTTTAGAATCTTTATTTATTGTTTATTTATTATTTATTTATTATTTATTATTTATATAATCTTTATTTATTATTTATATTTTGCAAATGTCAGTGAACTATTCGCAAAATAAGTTCGGAGCAAAAGTGTGTATTTTGTAACAACAGCAGTGAAACTAAAATCACACTTTTTAACGATAAAATTTTGGAAAAATGCAGGAAGATTTTAAAAATTCGTGTAACCTACAAGCTAAAGTATAATGAACTTATTTTACCCACAACTCCAGATAAAATCAATAGGTACCATGGAAATTGTTATAGAAATTTCACGGCTATTAAAAGAAAGTATGTTGACAATTATAGTGAATTGGTGAAATTACAGCAGTCTGGAAATACAATACCGGAGTCTGATCCTAGTAAATACATAAATTCTTATATGACTTTTTCAATACATTGTTGATAAATAATAAAATTAATTTATTGTTCATTTTATGTAGCTAATAACGAATCGATTGCCTCATCTAGTGTTTTTCAGCAGATATCAACGAAATCGAATCTGAGAATGATATCGATTGCGAAAGCGAAAGAGATATGCAGTACGATGAATCCGATGCAAACAGCGAAATAAAATAACTCTACAATTTTTAATAGTATTTTTTTGTTAATAAAAAAATTATTCTAATGTTAAACATATCTTTTAGCAATTATTATATATATAATATAGAAATTGTTATCTTATTGTCGACATGATATATATATATATATATATATATATATATATATATATATAAACAAAATAACATATCGTAGTAACGCATCGTACGGAACTAACTCGTTAAGCGCAATCGAAACCGCGCTCTTCATTACAATCTGCTTCGATGTTGTCTTCAGTTTTTTCGTCTGCCATTTAGCACATAGCTTCGTTAATAGTTTAGTAATTATTACCAATAATTTTTAATCATGTACCTTATCATTTTTTTTTTCACAAAAGTTAACGCCGCTTTGTTGCAGTCTGCCGGCCCTTTCTCTTCCACGAAATCGTCTGCCAATAATTTTCCGCGTTTCGTAGCAACAAATACTTAACGTTCCTATAATTTTTATCCCTGAGCTTTATAATTTTTTTCCTTGTAAAATTTGTCATTTTTAACCGTCCACCCCCGCCTTAATCTTCCTAAGCGCGCAGGCAAACTGGTCACTCAGTGTTCGGGAGTGCTAATGGAACCTCTCTTGCTATAAATATTTGTACCTTATACCTTGCATTTTTATGTAGCCAGCTCTTAAAGTGAAATTTCATGAGCAGTAAAAAGCAGCAGCAGATCGTACTGATTGGCTGCAAAATAGAGAAGTTCTCGAGTTTCTAGAGAGTTCTCTTTTTCTCTATTTTGCCAATCAGTACAATCTGCTGCTGCTGCTTTTCACTGCTCATGAAATTTTACCTTTAGACTAAAAGGTGCAAACATCGAAAAGTCAAAATTCTCGGGGCGGAGTCGTGTCTTCATTCTCGGACTGAATTTTAAATAAAGATACATAATTTTGATCATAAAAAGTAATAGAATACACTTTATTCATTGTTTTTTAGTAGAAAAATGGAAAGCGGAAAATAATTTCAAGAAAATCAATTTTCTTTTTCGCTAACAGTTAAAGCATGTAAAAACAGAGTCTGATGAACGCACGCACTCGTTGTATGCCTTACGCCTGCACGAAATATACACTGTTTTTCATCGGCTCTGTTTTCTATTATCTCCGAGCATACGCAGCATATATTATTTAGCTTTCTTGACTTGGAGCTTGGAAACGACTTTGCCCCGAACACAAGTTTTAGGTTTGGTCGCTTATAAAATAATAGAAATCAAT